GCATCTTGGGTAGATTTTACCCCTGGATATTTGTCTAGTGTGTGTTAATTAATGTGGTAGAAATGAGAGAAATCAAACTCTCACCATAAACACCATCCCATAAGACATGGTGTTTTGGATTGAATGAAAACTGGTCTACTTTCCTACATTGAATCATGAATATGCAGTTCAAAATTCTTCTCAGATTGATTTTAATTTAATTTATCTATCAAGAAAGATTTCAGGCAATTCTGGAATGAAAATAGAAACACACATTAATGAATTTTAGTTGATCAAACCATCAAACTTCTTTTTTTTTTGAAAAAAGTGCTAAATGTGAGAAATTCTTCTCAGAGACTTATCTTTTTCAAAAAATACTATGTTATGATTCAAAAACCTTTGGAATTGATTGGCAGGAATTTGATATGTCCACAATTTTTGGGAGTTGAATCTATTAAGTTTAAGAATGGTCAGAAGTGAACCCACTGTTTTGAGGTTACTCCTCTGTGGATGATCAATACTGTACATTCCTTTGTACCTCAAATTTACCTCAACACCATGGAGTTAACTTTGTTGTTCAATCTTCACAGAAATGAATTTCCTTATTTCATTTACAAAAAAAATTATCCACAACCTTTGGTACTGAGTTGATCTCTCACATTTCTTTGATGACACACCTTTAATCCACCTCATACAGAACTTCATGAAAAAAGATTAAAGTACTGAATTTATGTAATTTCCAACTAAAAATAATTTTCAAATACAATGAATTTGCACTCAAGCCAGATTGTTTTGAGTTTACTGTGATGAAATTCATAATTAAATTGAATATAAAGAACACCATGAGTCTTTCGATTGATAAATACCCCAATCAAGGAAGTGAATCTCATTTAATTAAAGAGGAAAAAAATTGTTAGTATGAATTATGTAGAATATCATGCAGGATTCTTATGGGTAGAATAATTGATGAGGATTGCAAAAACACAAAATGAATGAAATTGGATTGTTCAGAAACTTCCTATGTAGGGAGAAAAGATCAAAAATCCATTTGAGAAAATAAAGTGAACTCACATCTCATTCCCCAAGTGTTATACCCAACAAGCATTATGTTGATATAAAAAATCAAACCAATAAAATAAAATAAAAATAAGATAGAATAAAATAAAGATAAAATAAAATGCTGAAATTTTCACATTTTACTGGCTGTGAACTGGAGTGCTTTATCTATTCAGCTTCCGCAAAATTGCAAAACTACTGATATTTTGAAGTTTAATCAATGTGTGCTGTACTTAAGGGAAAATTTACAGATCTAGAAAAACTTAATAAGTTTTTAATAGCCAAAAATTGTGCAGATTGGACCAAGATTTGAATTTGAAACAATACTTGGACTGGTAGTGATATTAAACTGGAACCTTCTCACATTACATGTCTTCTGCATGAGTCCCAAATCAAATCAAGGCTTGGCTTGGTATACATGTGAGCTTCTGACTCTTAACAATATTTCATGTTAATTGCATTTTCCTAGTTTTTTATTGAAAGAAGATGAAATCCAATGAATTGATAATGTACAGTCACATCTCATTTTTTACCAAGCAATAGATATCCAAGCTCAACAGAACCCAAAACTATGTTACACCATTATGTTTTTATCTCAGTTCCATTATGAAATTCATGGTTAATAGTAAATTTTGAAATCAATTCTCAACTGCATACTTGTTGGGTATAATTGTTGAAAAATCATTTGAAAACTTGGGGATAGTTCTGGGATAAAACTGAGATAGAATCATTGATATCACATTTGTATGCTATTGTTGCAACACAGATGGACTTTGAGATACCCATGGGATACAGCAAAGCCACCCAATAGTGGGTGCCTGATCCTTTTTCCTGGTGCATAATTCAAAGTAGCCTACACAGGAAAGGAGCCCAAATTCTACATGCAAGACTGAATTATGCATGAAGCACATGCATTTCTCATGATCACAAACTTGCATAAGCAGAGTTACATGTATGCAACTAACTCTACAATTGCACAGCCCTTGCACAGTAACTGCAGCCCTTTCAATTACGTGGGAAATAGGCCACAAAACTCAATTATGCATGTATGATCTCATGTCCTAGGACCTTCCACCCATGCATAGCACTGCACAGCTACAGGTCCCATCCTTACACAAAATTGTAGAGCTGCTAAAAAGCTCCCTAGTGCCCTGAGGGCCTCTCATCTTCCCCTGAGCCCTCTGTAGAATAAAGATGGCCCCATGGGACCCGGGTACCCGTTGATACCCGGGTACCGACTGCTTTTTTCGGCCAAAACGGACACCGGGTACCGCACCCGCTCAAGTATGACGGGTACCGGCGGTACTCCTGGCGGGTACGGCTACCGGAGATTCTTCCAGGCAACCTGGTTGAGACCAATCAGGTCGCCAAGGAGGGCCCTTACCGGCGACCTGATTGGTCTTGATCAGGTTGCCGAGGAGGGGTCCTCTCCAGCAACCTGGACGAGACCAGTTAGTCTCGGTCAAGCCACCGAGGAGGGGGTTTGGGGGCGGGTACCCTCAAAGGTACCAGGGTACCGCCTGCTTTTTTGCCCAAAAGCAGGCACCGAGTACCGCACCCGGCACCACTTGGCGGGTACCGGAGGAGTGAAGGCGGTACCTGCCAACGGGTCCCGGGTACCGCCCAACGGGTACCGCAAGGCCATCTTTACTGTAGAATATTTAAGGAGCCCTGATTCCTACCTTTTCCCCCCAGGAAATTCTAGTAGCATCAAACCAATACTTGTACTGTGATTATTAGTGACTTAGACCACCAATAACTCTACAATCCAGCTACCTTAGACCTAAATAGATTTATTTTGCTCAGATTCAAGGCATTTCTACTTATCTCTATTGCATAAAGAATTATCCCCCAGGTTAAACAATTCTGGTCCTTAAGTGTTGATACACTTATTAATGTGAATCGTTGTTAAAAGACTTATCCCAAGTGAGTTGAAGAAGTCCTCACCTTGGAAGCCTATTAATCCATGCAAGAGGATTGATCCGGATGCCCAATTGAATAATTGGATGAGTCAGCAGTAGAAGTACCATTCCTCACTGACTCCTCCCTGTTTGTTTTACAGGTTGAGGGATTTAACCACGAATAAATCTTCTTAATTACTCTTCTTGTTAACACTCAGAGCACAACCCTTACAGGTTAGTAGCATAGAGGCTGACAGGTACCCAGAGCGGGTGCAGGTACCTGACTCATAAGTCCAATATTGTGGACACCCACACAAGCACTTGCATTCTGTTCTCTCATCCTTAAAATAAATCAGCTTCATGCATGTAATCTGTTTCTTATTTATCCTTAAGTCAATTGATGTTGATGAGAATATTCAGGTGAAAAGGACACTTATGATACACTAGTATTTGTCCCCAATTTTGGGGAGTTTGACTGTTGAACTTGTTTTTGCCCCAAATTTTGGTGGGTTTTATTATTAATTGATTACCTTTTCCCCCTTTCAGGGGTGTTGCTTCAATTCAGCACCTGTCTTGGTCTAACATTGGTGTCAACAAATGTGAATTAAAGGTTGACACTGGTGTTAGATTTATTGAACCACAAGCTTTGAGATGAAGGTGATCTTTAGTAAATCTACACAATGAAACTGAAGATGACCTGAAAGATCACAAACCTAAGACAGTGTTTGAGGTTAGTGACAAAGCGACGATGGTTGATAATGAAGGATTGATTGATTGCTTTTTCATATACACACCTTTGAGATGAAGGTGATCTTTAGTAAATCTACACAATGAAACTGAAGATGACCTGAAAGATCACAAACCTGAATAGAACACAATGTTAAGTTATGAACAACAAAGAGTTGATAAGAGAAACGAACCTAAGACAGTGTTTGAGGTTAGTGACAAAGCGACGATGGTTGATAATGAAACAATTGATTGATTGAGAAAGAGACCAATACAATAAAGTGAGATGGCTTTTGGAAGATCAATTAGGTTTCAGAACTGCGGCGCAAAGTGTGAAATGAATAAAGTATAATATAAAATGGAGAAAGAACTAAATGAAACTAAGCAGTTCAATAAGATTGCATGGCAGTTTGTTTGGCTCTCTGAGCCTATTCTTTTAGCTATGTAGATTATCAGGGCAGGTTTAACACAGGTACCTGGTCCGGGTACCTGCCTGTTTTTTCACCTCAAATTTCAACACCGGCTTCCACACCCAGCACCTTTTCCAGGTACCTGCTTTGGAGAACAGGTGCCTGAAAATGGGTGCTGGGTACCAGGAAGCAGGTACCTGATGACATCTCTGTCTCACTCCACAAACTCATTCCAACCACCTGGTGGAAGAGCACTCTTGGCCCCTCAGTTAACCTCACCTTTGACTTGTGATTTTGAAGTTGGGGTGTTGATTTTACTTGGCAATTGCAGTGGGCATTGGAATGTTGTATCCTGCCAGTTGCCAGTTTTGATTTTATTTACATGGTTATTACTCCATCATGGGTTTTCCTTGACTGACTTGTCCCCAGGAGTTGAAGCCCTTCATATATTTATTTAGTTCAGTTTCTCTTCTCCCTTGAAAAAACAAAATTAGTATTTATTGTTATCTTCCCACTGGGTTTCTTAATTTTACAACCAATTGACAGTTTTGATGATAAACTTGTTTACTTGCAAACTTGATCTGATCTCCAATGGGAGGGGGTGGCCTCGCAAGTGTTCTCAGATTTGTATTTTCTTCATGTCCATGTACTGGTTTTTTTTAACCCCTTGCCCCCATCAAGTTTTGTTGTGAAAATCTTTTCAAAATCTACAATTTCTTTCATATATATTTATTGCTACTGCACACTATTGATGTACAGTTGAGGATCAACATCTATAGAATCAAAGTCAGATATATCCCCCCCCCCATAATTAAAAGGACACCTATGCAGCTGGCCAGCTTTCTCCATTTTTAGCTTATTTTTTAAAAATCCTACCTGGTATTTTGTATCTACATACTCTATTGGCCCAACCCTATTTTGAAAGAAACTCATAAATTATCAATTATGCATAACTGTTGAAAAGTCAAAAGCAAGTATTACATTTGAGTGAGGCCTCAGACATAAAAATTCAAACAAGCATATAAACAGTTGTAAGGACCATCAACAACTAAGTTTGGACATTCCATGCGGTAAGCAAGTGTTACATTTGAGTGACAGCCCTAGACACCATATTCAAACAAGCGTGTAAATAGCTACCAGGACAATCGACAAGCAAGCTTGGACGTTCCATGCGATGCATGCAAAACGTTGAATTGCAGCCGATGCAAGTCTGTTAGCATCTTTCGAGGGCATCGGCGCGAATCCAGGTCCACATTTGGAATTAGTCATCGCTCGTGCGGATGGGTAGCTTTCATGGAGTGTCAAGTCATTGGTGGATACAGAAAGACTGGCAAGCAAAGCGAGAAACGTTGTTTTCCATCAGACCAGATTAAATTTAGTAAATTGCTACTTTTCCGTAATCTATGTCCAAAAAGGCAGAGGACTTACGCATATAATTTCATTAACGATTTGGTGCATTCGTTACAGCTTGGCTGTGTCCCACTCGGCAAACTTGTTCCCAAAGGCAGATAATAGTAGTACTAATATCGGATAGGTGGGATTTTAGCAAAATAAACAAAGCATGAGAGTGCGGAACTGATAAGCAACTGACAAGATCATCTGGATTTTGACTCGACATGGCATTCACAAAGCAATATCTTGTTGAAGGTTCAGTCGACCCGCCAGTCGAGTTCGCCGCCATCAGACCGGGAGAAGTGCGTTGACCGGCGAGGGCGGTAGTTGTCAGATTTTTGTTCGGGTTTGCCGCTAGAGTTTTCCCAGCTTTCGGAGTCTCCCTAGTCGTAAGGCAAGCAACCTCACGCATCAGTCTATAGCTGCTAAGACCAGTAAGTGCTTGCAGCGCTAGTGAGTTGTTTTTCTCCAAGTCTTTACCACATCCAAAGCGCGGCGATTTGATGTTAGAGGAGAGTTGATCAAACAGTACTTGGCATTGATCAGGGTCTGCTTTGCAGGACGCATCAATTACTTGGTTGATGGGCAAGATAGTTGCGTTAACCGAGTCACTCTGGTTCGCCGCCACCGAGACCGTGTTCAAGGCACGGCCAGCTTGGTAGAACCCCTCACTGGTAGTTAAGAGTAAAGAAAACGGATGACATTGCTGGAAAGCCGTATTCTTGAGGAATTGAGATATGAATGGTTCACAGGTTTCGGAGTCAAACTCGGTGCCTAGGCTAGTGTCGAAAGGTTCCGGAAAGGACGGAGTTGCTTTCGCGTTGTCGGAGGCTACTTGCTGCCTTTTGGCAAGATGCCTGGGCTGCGCCTCCAGATGCGTCTTCTGAGCCTGAAGATGAACAGGATGAGCTTGGAGGGTAGAGTCATCGAACGGCCGCCATGGATCATGTGTCGACTTGATGGAGTTACTGGCGGAGAGAGGATAGTTGGGAATGATGGGGAATTGTTGCTGCTGCTGGGATATAGGATACTGATAATGATAGGCAGATCTTGTCTTAGAGGGCGGCGTGTATGAGGTGGTATCTAAGCTTGCGAGAATTGTTGGGGATCTTGATGTGGGGGCTAGACTTGAGGAGGTAGTCCTTAATTTTTCGGTTGAGGCGACTAGAGATGGCGAAGAAATTAGCGCGGCAGTTGCTGCAGCAAGAACAATCCAGGTGTTTTTTACCTTGCTCCGCCGGCAAGCTTGATTAGGTATGCACTGAGAGTGGAGAATCATCGTGGAGGCATGGACAAGGCCTCTCTAAACAATCTCCCCCACTTCCTGAAGCAATTATTAAATACCGGCCAAGATTAGATAACCCCGCCGAGAGATGAAATATCGCAAATGGGAGCCGCTAAACAGGTCGATGACGGTGTGCACACGGCCAGCAGACTGGATAGTACTCGAAATTCTTCTTCTAATAGACAACAGATCCAGTAAGGTAGGATCGGGGACGTGAGAGGTGGATTGAAAGGGCTTGGTACGCTTGATGGTGGTCGATGGGATGAAATTTACTTGTGGTGCAGAGAAAAGTGAAACGAGAGGATCGCCGTAGTAGCACTGCAGTTAAGGTAGGAATGAGTGTGAGGTCTCAGTAGACGACTCGAAGTCGAAGGCTTGTAAAGCGAAATTGTCCAGCCCCTGCTTCAACTTGGGAAGAAGGCAAGATGCTCTCAAAATGCAACTTGTGTTGGGCGAAAGGGGAACTTATCTGAAGGCCAAGAAAAATAAGCAGGGTTCATGTCTGCGTACAGCGCAAAACGGCCGTTGCAACATACGGCTCGGCGGTCCCCAAAAACCGTCGGCATTCCCAGTCTCAAGGCATATTAGGCAGGTTCGCAGACGTCTCAATGCATGAGAATTTACGATTTATTGACTTTTGTGCACTTCTTACATAGGCTGTCTGAGGGAAAAAAAATCAGGCAAACCTGGGAAGACACACATTAGTATGTAAAAAGTTGTACATAAATCAATGCATGAGATACCACAAAACAAGCGGATGGGGTCTTAATATCAAGATGAGTGCGAGTTGGTGTAGATGAAACGCAAATGGTAACGATGATGCAACAGTTATCTTGACCGCTCCGACTGGAGCAAGATGAGCTAAGCGCTTTTCAAAAATGTGATGATCAATCCACGGACAACAAACTGCTACCTCACACTAGAGAGAGATCCCAGTGAAAAGATTGTGCAGAGTAACACTGGAGTGAGCCAATGTGACCTGGATAGGTTCACCTTTTTGTGAAAGCAGGGGTTAACTTGGAAGCTGACCAAAAGATCAAGCAACTTGGCAGTGGCACCAATTATTCTCAAAAATTGGATGTATTAGTTATGTATATTCATGTATTCCAGCTCTCTGTTTTTCCTTTGAACTCTTTATTAGCACTAGAGATCAAGGGAGCTGTGCCGCTGTACTTTGAGGGGTATTTAATCTTCATGTCAGAAAGATCGATTCACTGGGCCAATCAAAGCTACCTTGTCCCCAAAACAATTCAGATACTTTGGAAACAGCTCAACAGCAACTCATTATAATATCAACAACACTAAGTTATATTTCTCAACTATTTGATTTAATTAATAAACCCAAAATTAATTGTCTTTTCATTTTTTTGACCTTTGGATATACTTTTTTCAATAGAAATGATACTCAGCACATTTTTAAATTGAAGAAAGAGAGAAACAAAGCAAAAAAGGGGGCTTGGTTAACCAACTCCCAAAAATTGGAGTCAACTCCCAAGCCCCACTTTTGGTTTATTGACCCCAATGAGAAAATGATACAAGCAGATTTGATACATTGCTACAGTCCTCAGGAAGCTTGACCAAGATCATAATCCAAACAAATAGTAAGCAGATTCATCAGGTGAAATTAACCTATCCAAAAATAGTCTTTACAACATGAATAAAATGTCATACTTGTGATTTTGAATGAAGAAATTTTTTCTTTCCAAATTCATGTACCAACAATTCATATTTGATGTGGTATATATTTGATATATTATTTCAAGCCAAATATTGGCTTCCCCCATTTTTTAAGTTCCCTCTATATTCACCAGTTTCAGCAATAAAGTCACATGATCAAATTTTTACTTCACCACTAATCATTGAAAGTGAAAGTCAAACTAGGAACAGGAGCCTAGGTAAATATTCTATCCTCATCTGTAAGCTCTGGTCTCTTATGTGACCAAGAGTGGATGGGTTTTTGGGTCACACTATAACTGCAGAGGCAGTTAGTGGAAATTAACATCACCCCAACACCTGAAAGTGGAGGGGCTAGCTCTTTATGTTAATAAGGGACAACTGGGGCATGAGCTTCATGGTGTCTGAGCTTTTGAGAATGTAAAAGAAAAGAGTTGTTACTAGTTCATAAAGTTAAAGACTTGAATTTTATATACTAGTGATGAGGATAAAGAGAAATGTACACTAGTAATGAGATAAAAGGCTTCTCAAAAAACCCACTGAACAATTAATATATTTTAGTAACATTGGTGGGTTTGTATGGTAATAATTGTCTGGGGGATGAATCTCATGGAAAGAGTCATCCACTTAAATATTACAGAGCAGTGCTCAAACTGCTAGTGATACTGGTGTAGCCCCCATATTGATACACTCCTTTGGGGAAAAGTGTAAGGATATACAAAAAATGTAAATGTAAATGTGTTGAATATATCTCCTTCAGAAGATACACAAGAGAGATACACAAGAAAGATGCACCTGTGTCAATCCAATTCTTCCATTATAAATGGAAGAAAACTGGATTTGCTCCTCCATTTATAATGGAAAAACATGCAGAGCTGACTCCGGTCAGCTCCACCTCAAACCAGCCCACCCAGATCCCCTTCATTCAAAACCAGCTCACCCAGCTCCTCTTCATTCATCAAAATAGCTCTTTCAGCTCCTGCATCCCCATCAAAACCAGCTCATCCAGCTCATCCAGCTCACCCTGACCACTTAACTTACAGTAAACATTAAATTCTCAGTCCAGTCTTTGTAGTCTCACAGCCAGCAAATGGGTGACGAAATTCAAATTTCGTCGCGCTGACGTAATGGAAATTCAAATTCAAATATGTGACCCGGCCCAGTCGTCACCTGTCTGGAATTTCGTCACCTCGGACACCGCACCCCTGGATTTCGTCACCTCACACAATCCGCCACCGGATTTCGTCAGCTCAACTACATATTTCATTCTTGCTACGGGTCAACTGTTCAAACTTCATTTATCTCAGAAAGTACATAACTTAGTACATATGTATTTCTTTACAACTTTACACAGACACCCGCCAATGTTCCTTTTTGCTCTGTGTGGCTCGCAGTCCAAGATCAAACCTGCCTTGTCTAGGGTGTTGCTCATTTATGTAGTCATGTTTCGTTGGACTTGTATGTACATTGTCCGATGGGGATGATGACCGCTCACTACACATCCACAAATGACGGAGATGAACGCTCCCGTCTCTGTCTGCGTGTACACACTCATAGCCTTGTGGAGTCATGAAGCTTGTTTCTTGTGTATAAATACTGCACCTACTCCCCCCATCTTGACGGACCATCTTGTAACCGGTCCATTTTCTTGATTCTTGCTTCTTGACTATCCGCTGCCGTCATCTCTATTTATTCCTACCATCATGGCTTCTGCTGCTGACATTGAGAATATCGTCAAATCTGCATTAGAGCGACAAGCTCAACAGATGCAAGCCCAACTCGAGTCTAGAGACGAAGCCATCGCAAGGCTCATGTCCCAGGTGGAGCTCCGAGAAGCCCAGCCATTGGCTTCCTCTTCCCGCAAGCCAGCTCCTCAGAAGGCTCAACCAAAACGATCTCCAGTTCCAGTCAAAGAACCCCAAGCCAGTACTTCAAAGGGGAAGCAGAAAGCTGGCACTCCCAATAAGTCCAACAATTCGAACCCGGCCAACTCGCAGAGGACTCCCACTAACCAATCAAAGCGTGTCGTCACTCCAAAGTCTGACTCCCCTAAGGTCAACCCTCTTCAGATGATCTCGCGGAACATGCCAGAGTCTTTTGCATCCACAAGAGTACGTCCCCTTTAAGTCATGTCTCACCCCGCTCAGAATTCCTGTATGCTGATACTCTTTTCCTTTTGTTCACACTGTAGGATGCCCTCTACGTTCACATCAAGCTGATTTGGAACCTCATCGAGCAAAAGACAATCCCAAGGCCTCCTCACCCCGACAACTTGAGGGAATTTAACTCTCGCTTTGCCAACGCCGAAGATATTGAAAGAACGGCCGAGGATACGTTAAGTGCTGCCCTGATCCCAGCGAACGAAGTCGTGACATTTAAGGATCTCAAGACCGGACGTAAGAAGGTCAGAAAAGGCCTGGTCAATTTGGAAGAGTTTTTCATCAGCTACACTCAGTCCGTTCTTGCTCGTCTTGGAATGCGCTCGTGGGCACCTGACCTCGAAGACATCCCGGATTTGCTGTACAACGAAGCTTGCCGACAAGCTGCCTTGAAATCTTTCCGACAGGCCGCGGTGGGTGGCGCTTACGCCTATATGAATGTCAACAAGAAGTATGTGGCAGACCTCTCGCTTCTGATACCGGCGTACAACCATTATGTACATTATCTGCAAGCTAGCCGGTACAATCGGGAAAAAACTCAGACCGGCAAGTTTCGAATGGACGAAGAGCGGAAAGTAATTTCAAAGGCACGGGAAAGAGTGAGCCGTTTTCAACCCTTTCCGTCCATGCTTATACGGTGCTGATTGAATGATCTCCAGCTCCGTGACTCGCGATTAAAATTTGCCCTTGCTCAGGCTCTTCCAAAGCGATACCAGAAGATAATATCCGATGTCAACTGTCACAGCGATGACGAATATGACCCAAAGCTGAAAGCTTATGTCATTAAGACTTTGAGATTCCGGTCAGCCAATGCCACCAAATTTTTCCGCCGACTTGATGCCGCCATTCAAACATCCGACGAGCTTGACGGCAAGCGACCGCAGCGACGCCAGCGCATCGTTCCAGCAACTCCGCACCCCTCCCAGTTTCCTAAGCCACCAAAAGGTCAACCACTTGACTTTTACAATCCTGATTGGTTCAACGAACTTCTGCCTCAACAGCGCATGGATGTTGCCAATACTCGTGAAGTCGCATTCCTGCCCGACGCCTCTCAATCGCTCATGGGGAAGAGGCTTGCATCCGAAAAGTTATCTGACAGAAAGTTCATTGCACATTTCTTCGATCAACTGTCTAAACCTTATGATCTCACTCACGAGATTGAAGAAAATGGCGAAGACGATGAATCGACCGATGCTGAGCAGGATGCCGGCTCGGGCGGAGAGGAAATTGACTTGGAGGGTACATCTGACGAGGAAGACGAAGACTATGAGGAGGAACAGGAAGACGCGGACTTCGTCGATGACTCTATGCAAACTTCTGATCGTGACAACGATGATGGCAACAACGAAGAGGAAGAGTTTGCACGCGAGGCTCGATACAATGCCATGTTGGTTGATGACGACGAGTCGGCCTGGTCATAAGACCCTTATTTTTCCTTTACTTAATAACAAATTTTCCTGGTAATATGTCTCTTTCATCTTTTGTCCTTATAGTTATTTTACCAAATCCCCCCAAAAAATGAAAATCGTAAAAGCACAAAAAAAACGCAAAATGATAAAAACAAACAAAAAAATCTTTTTATCTCTCAGTTCCCGAAGTGTTCTCTTTGTACTCACTGTTGTACATTATTCCCATCTCAGTTTTTTTTTTCTCCCTCGATCTTCTGAACATCCCTGCATTTCTCCTATTGTGCTTTTAGTCTGGTTCTCATGTGACATTGTTGGATTTTGGTTCGATTCATCCCCTTTTTTTTTCCGAAACGATCCTGTTTCTTTTTTTTAAGGGAAATAAATGAACCTTTCCAAACACAAATTCTCCAGGGATGCCTGGGTGCGGCTCAAACCTGGCGTTCTTCCCACCTCAACACAATGTACGCATGAGTCAACAAGGCTGGAAGGACCCGAGCTGGGCGTGGGCCCTAAGCCTCATCTTCAGGCAAATTCTGATGATTCCTCCCTGTGCATACTCGCTCGCAAATTGTCCTCAGCCCTCCCCTCTCATTCCATCTCATGTATTGATGTATTGATGTAAAAATGGGGCGGTGCCTCATTGCGTGAGTGTTTTGTACAGCTTGGCTGCATCCCAGGTATGGGGACCGGCACTGACACCAGAGAATCTGAATTGCCTTTTCTCTCGCTTCCGCTCAGTCAATCGCAAGTTGCAACACTGCAGCTAGGTGCAACATCCTATGCGACGCTGCTGCTTCATGCGACACAGCTATTTCATATGACTCGGTTAATTTCACAAGACTGAGGAGGCAAAATACTGAATAAAAGGATACACCTGGAGGGAGAGGAGATTTACAATGATGGATACAAGAGAGGGGAAAGATCATGTGGCATTTGTCTCAGGACAATCAAGGGAAGATGATACTTGAAATTCCAAGCGGGGAGGTGCCTATAAGCACAGACTGCTATCAAGTCACCGGGGTCCAAAATCTCACGGCTGGCCTCTTCCCGCACAACTTTCAGCTGCAAGTCGTTGAGAGTTTGTAAGAAACTCTCCCCAATCTCAAGAACATTGCCCCCACAGGCATCACCGAGCGCCTTGACTGCCACCAGGATCCTATCGTTGTATTCAGGTAAACTGTAGATTTGGGTGACCCACCCGTATCGAGTCTGTCCGTCCTTCTGGTATGCCACTAGCCGATTTTGTTTAGTTTTGCTGACATACAGGCCACTATTGCTTTGGAATGCATCCTCTTCATTTGCGTACGGAGTGACTACACAAGAGCCATCGGGATGAGGGAGATCTTGGTAGTGTCGCAGTGTTGGATCTTCACTCTGGAGCTTGTGAAGCATGGCCATGTAGATGTCGGGATGTACTTCTACCAGCCTACTGGGTTTTGATACTGACGCGGTGTCATCGATTCCAAGTAACCATCTAGGTGCTTGAGAGTAGAGCCGCTGTATTTGACAGAATTCACGTAAGACGGTACCTTCAATTTGGCCTAGTAAACAAAATGTTAGTTGTAGTTCTCTTATTTTTCTTGGATAAATAATTCCAGCCTGTATTTACTCACCAATTATGCCATTGGTCTTCATTTTTTGAAGCATTCCATTGACCCGCTCGCCAGAGAACTCGGACACATTCGAGAGAGGCCCCCACCACTTCATCTGTTCGGGAGTATGAAGCGCATAATGATGGTTGGGGACAATTTTTGGTTGATCAAATACCACCTTCGATGTTTCCGTGTATAGCAAATATGCTTCTGCAAATTTGTTTGCATCAGCATCGGTGGTTGACTTCAAAGAAACAATGTTTGTGCAGATCACAAGCGATGAGAAGTTAAGCAATAGATTTTCGTTGCTGCTGCCATCGGTTGCACACTTGGTTGGGTCGTGGACAAAGAAGTTGATGAGACTGAGTGGTAAGTATGTCGAAAAAAGTGAATGCCACTCGCTTGCTTTTAGCTTTCCATGCTTCGGATCTCCCAAGTTCGCAGGGACTTGCGTTACACCGCGAGGAACGATGATTTCAGGTAAAGCTTTTCGAATGTGCGCAAGTGCGTTGTCGTGAAATTCAAGGCTTGTTTCAGAGTTGCTGGAGTTATCGTCCTCCCAATCGTCAAGCTGGTCATCGTGGGTAGTGTGCTTGGACGGTTCTGCTTCAAATGCCCAGCGGACACGCCAATGATGCTGCAAGACACCCTCGTACCAATTGTGCATAAAACCTAATGCCACATTCCTCACAGGATCCCAGTAAGGTAGGCGGTTCAGTTCCGACCAACGAGTACCATTCAGTTTGAGCTGTCTTTTTTGTTCGGCAAGCGTGTCGCTATCTCTCCATCTGATAGCCTGTAATCGTGTCTCTCGCCGATCCCGCGCTCGTCCAACTTGCATGTGCATCATCTCTGTTTTTAAACACTTGCACCACGAGCAAAAGAGAGTAGCCGCGTGTGAAGCGAAACCGGCAATCTTGTGTGTAGCGACGATATCACCAATTAGTGCGCCAAGATGGACTGACAGTTTTCGACCGTTGGGAAACTTGGGAGTTTGCACAAATATACCGGTGTTGAGTAGAAGCAGCTCGTCAACAAGTGGGGCCAGAATGTGGGAAATCGTGGTCATGTCAGGTTCTTTGGGGGCCGGGATCATACCGGCGATGAAGATGTTGTTGTATTTGTTTCGACTATGGGGGGGAAGATCTAGACAAGTAAGAGCGATGACACCCATTGAAGCTTGCCTTCCAGCAAGCTTATTACCAAATGGATTGAACCAATCAATGAAGACTGAAAATGTCAAGCGAAGTTCATTGCGAGACAGTACTCGTTCGTTTCGGAGTTGGAAGCTGCGCCAAGCTTTAGACTGTTGGATATCAACAATTCTGTCATCCGATGTTGATTGAACTTTCTGTCGCCAAGAAAAAATCTCGTCTTCAATACCGGGAACATTTAAGAACCAGTTTAGCCAGGAATCAAACCCTTGAGTGTGGTACGTCAAACGGGGGGTGAATGGCTTGAAGGTAGGCGAGGAAGGTCGTTGGGCGCGGGAGACGGGTTGGTATCCAGGTAAGAGCTTGTCGACGTTGAGTTTGAAAAGGCTTGCGCCGCAAACTTTTGCTTTCTTCGATTTACGATAAGGACAGTCGGTTGGCGCGTCTTCAGGTTCGTAGAGGGTAAAGCACTTGGGACAGCAGATACTACTCTCGAGTTTAGGGTCTAGCCTCAGATGCTTCGTGATAGTTCGTCCGTCTTTGTAGCTCAGTTGATATTCATTACGGTCTTCAGGTAGGTTTCGAAAGATCCGGATTATAAAGATGATCCATTCTCGTGCAATGCGACAGTTTCTTTGAGAAACACCACATACCAAGCCCAGCCATACAATAAAGTAGTAAATGTATCCTGTCAAAGGGTTTTAATGGTTGCTCTTATCAGCACAGGTGAGAATTTTTCAAGAGACGAAAAAGACAAAAAAATCTTACTGATACACTCAGTTTCAGTGAATGTGTTGGCTGGTTTGGAATCTGAGTCACTCAGTGGCGAGGTTTGAGGTGGAGGTGAGGTGGATAGACGCTCTGGTACCAACGGGCAAAAGTCATCCAGGGGGGTGGCTTTCTGTGCCCAGTGCCTTTGGCGAGTGCTTCGGTGGACCCAGCAGCCTTGTGTTGTTTCGCCGTTAGTTGATGTGGTGGTTTGTTGAATACAGACCGGACAGGTACATATCCGGAGATCCATGGTCGGGATAATTGGGATAATTGGGATCGTTTGGATATTCGGGACGGCCGTGATAGTTGGGATGGTTGGGATGGCCAGTTCAACAGGATGACTGAAAGGGGCCGGATGGCACGAGCTGACGAAATATGGCACGAGCTGACGAAATCCGGTGGCGGATTGTGTGAGGTGACGAAATCCGGGGGTGCGGTGTCCGAGGTGACGAAATTCCAGACAGGTGACGACTGGGCCGGGTCACATATTTGAATTTGAATTTCCATTACGTCAGCGCGACGAAATTTGAATTTTGTCACCCATTTGCTGGCTGTGTCTAGTCAGCTAAGCCTGCCCTCCACCTCCCATGAGGTTTTGGGTTCAAGCCCCACCAGAAGCAACACCAAATTAGGGGTTTATAGGTTTTAGGTTTTAGGTTTTAGGGTTAGTTTTAGGGGTTAGGGGTTAGGGGTTAGAACTTGTATGCACTACAAAACGTGTTGGATCACATTTTGAAAATGCGCGATAACATCGCATGTCACATGCAATGTCACCTTGCATTTTCAAAATGCAATTGAATTTTCAGCACTGGCAATTCAATTGCATTTTGAAAATGCGAGGTGGCATCACATGTGACATGTGATGTTATCGCGCATTTTCAAAATGCAATCCAACATGTTTTGTAGTGATGGACACAAGAGATAATTATCCTTTGCAATTTCATCATTAGGGTTAAGTTTAGGGTTGGTGGCTGTGGGAAGACTTTCTTGATGAACACCATCATTCATTATTTGAAAGGAAATCAGATTCCAATCATCACTGTTACTTCCTCATTCATAGTGGGTCTAATGCTTTATCAAGGAATGAAAACTCACTCTTCATTCAAGATTCCGCTTGATGTTAATGCAAAAACACAATGTATTTGGTGAACAAACTGTTAGACACTGAGAAATTCATCTATGTGTCTACAAAAATAGTCAATGAACAAGATAACCTTTCAATAATTGTCTATCATTGGAACAATGTTCAAACAGAATCTTTCTTATAGTTTGGAACATCACTTTTATGTGCTTTGTTTGTGGCAAACTTGAACATGGATAAAAAGGAAATTACCATTTTGGGAATATGAATGAACTTTAAAATGTCATATTTCTCTCAGAGATTTTAAGAATATTTGGTTTTGAAAAATTCCTCCTTTTTTTTTGGGGGGGGGGGCGGATGTCAGACACTGAGACACTAGTCCATGTTTCTAAATGAGATTGTAGCCCCTCCAGG